CCTTAGCAAAGCGCATCCCAGGCTGCATAGCCGCACTACCCTACCCAACCATACCACACATAAACATGACACTACCCCCGGGGTTTACACAGACGAGCCGGCGAAGCAAGAAGAGCGCCAGAAGAAAGGGCCCTAGCCGGCGGGGCCCAGCCAGGACAAAAGGAGGTCCCACAAAGCGCCTACACCGGCCGCATTTGCGGTCGGGGTAGACGACGGATGGGGCCCACCTACGAAGGCTGTCCAGGCCTACACGAGATGAGGCAGGATAAAGAGGGATAATCCCCCTCGATCCCAAATCATTGAGGCCAATTTCTAGCCATAGAATAATGGCGCGTGGCGCGTGTTGTTACATAATACAGAGTTCTAATTGTTAGAGATGTTTAGTGATTTCTCAGCCCTAATGTTTGGACTTTTGAGAGAACCGAGTTGGTTATCCTGATGTAGCATAGTAGCTAGTTATCTATTGTCTCTGACTCTGATAGTAGCTGTCAATGCTGTCATTTGAGAACATTGTTTTGAGATTACATAAATTTAAATTTATTTAAAAAATGTCTTCTCAAGCAGTGAGGACGGTCGTAAAAGAAGTGAAACCCATTTTATCTCTAGATCATGAGGAAGCAAGAAAAAGAGTATTAAATCTGTACAAAGCGTGGCACAGGCAATTGCCATATATAGGTTATTAAATAATTTTCTAACTTAACCTAACATTTATGTAACAAAAATATTGATTTTTAGTTAAACAGTATGATATTCCTAAGAATGTGGAACAATGTCGAAATAAATTAAGGGAGGAATTTACTAAATTTGACAATATAAAAGACATTCGAGTTATTGATATGCTGGTGATTAAGGTAAAAAAAGTTTGTCCAAATACTATCGAATCGTTATATCGATTTATCTTTTAGGGTCAAATGGAACTAAAAGAGGTGGTAAATATGTGGAAACAGAAAGGCCATGTGATGTCTTACTTTAAAGATACAGTCGAACCTAAACCTCAAGATTTTATATCAAAATTCTTGTCGGGTAAAGAATAATTCACATCTTTCTGTTGTAGAATATTTTGATAGATTCTGTAAATACAATTTAATAAATTAACTTTATTCAGGAGTTAGTGTCTCTGATTTTCCAACGCATGTAACGATTTCAGTTATAGTAATAAGTTTTAAGTAACGTTTATTGGGCAAACTAAGACAAAACAAATTTGCAAATTGTTTATTGCAGTAATATACATTTCCTGGAAGAAAAGTGAACTTTTCTTCAAAATTATCACATGTAACTTATATTAAGCCATTTTGTGAAATGGTTTGTTTCTCGTGAACCTCGTAATGAGATCCACAGCCCATTGAGGCTGATCGGCAGGCACCATATGCCCTGCGTCTCTAACCAAGACTTCCGTGAGGTTACCGGCTTGCTTCACATACCCTGCCAAATCCGTACCAACATGCCACTGATATCTAGGCGCGGTTTTATACTCATCGGATCCGCTGAATTTCAAATTCTGCAAATAGTTGATAGTCAACGGATAAGCTACGATGATGTCAAGCTGACCGTTATATATCAACACACGATAATTACTCAGCAATTCCGAGATCCACGGAGCGACAGATTGCATTACATCGGAAACGAGGTTCAGTTCCACCGTTTGGTCTTCAGAGTGAAACGTGGAGTTCCCGACGTGGATCGCAGCTCGGATGTCCGTTCTCTGGACATATTTGACCATGTAGTCCAGTTCTTTGGACGGTGTTTCAGGGTAGAGGAAGTTGAAGTAATTATTGAACCCCGTCACGTTTTTGAACAGGGAAGTGTGGTTGTTCAAGTCGCCATTCAGGAGTGTGTCGAATATTTGGAAAGCTTTGGCAAATTCCTTGTTTTGTATATATTTTATACCTAAAATTGAAATTTCTGCTTTAAAAATACTTTCTAAGTTCATGTCGTAAATTTAGGAGGTTGTTTATTGGATTTAAAAATAATCGCTTTTATGCAGATTTCTATCATTTAGTCAATTTTTTTTTTAATAAAGTGGAAGAAGCCTCTTCTCTTAAAAATTAAGGGCATTGTTCGCTCGAAAGAGTTTTCTATACAAACAAAAGAATTTAAACATTTAATAGCTGAAGTATTTAGGGTCTACTGAATAATATAAAGTTTAGGGTAACGGAAAACGACCAACAAAATTGACAAAATCAGACTGACATAAATATGTTTAAATATTTTTTTTATCGTTACAAAACTTCATACGATTATAATTAAATATATCTCGAGTCTGACCTTAGTTCAGGACTGCATTCGTTCTCATTATTTTTTAATTTAAATGTGACAAATTAATTGTAGAAGTAGAGATTGTTTAAATATAAATATACCTCCATCTAAAAAATAGTTGAATGAATATGGTTTTTGACAACCCAAAAAACAACCTTTTGAAGTTTTGATATGGCCTTGCACACCTACCTTGCGCCTCGTAGTTTTGAACAGTGAGCTTCGTATTCGAATCGATCAACCCAATCTGATACAAATAGTCACTATATTTAAGTTGATGTTCAGGATCACTCAGTCCGTTCCCAATGCTCAATCCTTGTAGATTTATCTTGAGCTTAGCGGAAGGGTTTTTCTTATAAATGGTGTAAGAGATAGCAGGGACGTATTTCCCAGCATACGATTCGCCTGAAACGTAAAAACTATTCTTCTGCAACTCGGGAAACAAAGTAAAGAACTGCACCAACGCACTGTACAAGTCCAAACCGACTTGTGTTTCATTCTGGGCATATCCGTTATTCGTAAAGCTATAACCCGTTCCCACGGGGTTGTCGATGTATAAAACGGAATGGGAATTCGTCCACGTATATTTGCGTAGCTTCAACCCATGCTTACTCTTAACAGAGAACGGTCCGTTTTCTCCGAATAATCCGATAAGAGAAGTAGCCCCAGGACCACCTTGTAACCAGAGCACAACTGGGTCATTTTTATAATCCGTTAGGGATGGGAAGAACCAGAAAAATATGTTGGATTGATAGGCTTTGTTCACTGTTAAGTATCCAGAGTAACTTTTTATGTGCTTGAAACCATTGAAGTTCACCTGAGCTGCAGTCTGGGCTTCCTGAATCTTATTTTGTTCGATAAGTGGGGTTAGAAATAGGGGTTCCCCCGGATCGCCGGTAATTTTTTCTTCCTTAAACGTCCCGTACACATTGGGAAAAGCACAGTTGCACAGTTTAGTAAAAATATACACCAAATATAAAAGCGATAAGTTGTACATCACGTTAGGTTTTGATTCGTTGTGGTTCTATTTACTAACCACAAAACAGAAAAAATATTGCTAACTGATGGTAATTCGAAACAAATTTTTTGGAGGCGGATTTAGAACGCTAAACGAAGGTCAGAACTGTGAACCCAAGAGACAGAGTTTAATTTCAATCATCCAAAATGATAAAAAGTTACGATTAGCTGCAAACGGTGGTCTATGCTCTAAACCGAGTTTATAAACAGGAAGCTACAATTCTACAAACGTCGAGGAGGTTAAGAAAGAAAAAGGAAGGAGGTTACGTGGAGATTTGACCGGTTAAAGACCTTTTTATGTATAAGAAAAAAGTTAGAAATGACAAAGAAATGGTTTCGGATCAACAGTTTACATAAATTTTATTGTTAGTCTGAATTCTATCATTTTTTTTTTAATATACATCAGAACGTTGCTCGAATACGTTATTAGTTGCATATTTTCGATATACAGCGTAAAATTTTTTGAAAAATCACATCATTGAATGAATATAATTATTTGATTTTCAACAGTAGTTTGGAAAAAAGATTTGTTTCATTCTATTTGAATAATTCTGTTTATTTTTTTAAATTCCATAATAGTCCAGACGGTATCTGTTTCAAAAAGCCATATTTGGGTGAATCGTATATCCACGGAGATTTTTGGCTTTTTGGCTTTCAAATATCATATATAAACGATTCAATTTCGAGCAGGCCGAAGCAGCTCTGCTTCCCCCACCACCACCACCACCCGTACGATTTTATTGAATTTCTCGCTTGCATAAATAACTTTAAATATGTTTTAAAGTAGGTTGCCAATGAAGAAAAGTATTGTAATCTTAGACCTGGTAAGTACTCGGAATACCAAAGGTATTTTTCGAAAAATTAGCCCGGATGTCCCAGTACATTTAGTGTAAATGACGGCTATAACTACGTAACTAATTGATCAATCGATCTGTTTTTTTTTTTTAAAGAAGCGTCTTTCCAAGAACTTTTAAAACCTGCTTTAAAAAATTTGATTTGATTGAATATTCACAAAGTTCTAATTGTTTATAAGTACAAAAATTCGACCAATGTTTAAACAAGCGCCAGAGCTCTCCTAATTGACGGATTCGAATTTTTCAAAAAAAGTTTGAAAGCTTGAGAGCCCTTCTATATGTGATTAAATTTTCAAGTATCTAAGGGCCTTGGTTTTTGCTGTGCAAAATTTTGAAAATTTGCAAATTTTTTTTCAAAATCTGGATTGCAAAATTATTATGCAAAATCTATCGAACCGATTTTGATGAAATTTGGTGTGATAATTCTACATAACATGAAGTTTTTTTGAGCCAAGTATAAAGGTCCTATACCCAATTTAAATACCCCAAAAAAATTCCCTAAAAAGTATTGTTTTTTAACCCCATTTTTGTGATTTTTTCGATTTTTACCATAATAATCATGATTCATTCGATTTGTAACCAGTCATGTATTGTAAAAAATTTAATTACAAACATTTTTTTCCTCTTCCATTTTCGCCTAAAATCAACTCTTAAAAAGATACATAATTAAATAGGAAGAAAAATATGACATTTTTCCAATTTTTTTAACATATTGTGCCGTCAAAAGTTAAGCCCACGTTTTTTTTTATGCGCATAGAAAAATTTTCATTTCTAGTGATATTTGAAAGCCAAAAAGACAAAAGTCTCCGGGGATATACGATTCACCCAAACCAAAACAGATATCGCCTGGTCTATAATAAAATTTATCGAAACTTCTGAGGCAGTTTATTATTTCACAAAAATAATGCATATGAATTTTTTGCTACAAATAAAATTTTACTTATCAAAAATTCAGAATGAATCAGTTCGACCAACAAATCAAAGAAGCAAATAAATTTCAAAAATGTCACCTCTCCACTCATAATTGTAATGATACAACAGCGGTATTGTTTTAACACTACATATTATATAAATATTAGTTTTTATAAGTAACAAATCAGGAAAAACAATGCTAAACTAGTACACCACACAATTATTTACATATTCCAATAACATAACCTCATTACTGATCTGAGGAGACTGGAAATCTGTTGGATTGGTGTACTCCTGAACACAGATTTGGTGTATTAAACTTGTCCAATTTTTAGATGAAGCGACTTCATGAATTAATTCATCAATTCGTCAATGTAAAACAGCTATAATGATTACAATGAGTTGAGAATAATATTGTCAGTAAAATGTTCCTACAAATTTCTTTGCAATGTAAGCAGTTTTGCAGTTATTTTTTATTTATTCAACTAAGTGAGAAGTGTTTATTTTAGGCAAAAAAATTTTTCACTCGAAAATGACTTGTATCAAATGAAAGCATTATTATTTTGTCTTTGAAATACACATAAACACGGATCAAATTTTCACAATCATAGCGATGGTATTTTGCTGTATCTCCGCCACTAATTCATATACTCAAGGGTTGATATAATTGGGTACCATTCCTTTTAACTCTAAAGACTCATTAATTAAAATTGGACATATTGTGAATTTAATTTTATTTTTTTTTAATATGTAGGTATTTGTATTATTGATCTTTACTCTACTAAAACTGTTGATATTTCTTATTTATTGTGATAATAATTTACGTAGACAACAATGAACAAAATTTAGAATGTTAACCGAGAGTTTAGACCGACTTGTAGGAACACAAAGAAAAAATATGGCTCGTTAGAACTACCAATGTTTCGTTTCAAAGTTTCACATCCTGATAATGATAACATTACATGTCGACCAATTTGATTAATTAGTGCTAATTGTATTTTTTATAGATAAATACAGGACAAAACACGAGGTTATCGTTACAGACAAGTAATTACATAGAGGCACACTTTGGGATTTAAATGAAACAAACAACTCTTTTATAACGATTTACTGCAAACGAAGATTAATATATTATCACAAAACTCACAAAAAAAGTATATATCACATGCATTTACTCGGGATTACGCTTACTGTGGAACGGTTTATTTCTCGTGAACCGCGTAATGAGATCCACAGCCCACCGAGGCTGATCGGAAGGCACCATATGACCCGCGTCCCTAACCAACACCTCCGTCAGGTTACCAGCTTGCTTCACATACCCCGCCAAATCCGTACCGACATACCACTTATACCTAGGCGCAGTTTTGTACTCATCGGACCCGCTGAATTTCAAATTCTGCAAGTAGTTAACAGTCAGAGGATAAGCTACGATGATGTCAAGCTGACCGTTGTATAGCAACACACGGTAGTTACTCAGCAATTCTGACACCCAAGGAGCCACAGATTGCATAACGTCCAACATAAGGTTCTGCTCGACTGTCGAGTCGGTATGGAATGTCGAGTTTCCGACATGGATCGTAGCTCGGATATCGTCTCTTTGAATGTACTTGGCCATGTACTGGAGTTCGTCTGACGGGTCTACGGTGTTGAGGAAATCGTAGTAACTATCGAACCCTGTTACATTTTTGAATAGGGAATTGTGGTTATTCAAGTCTCCATCTAAAAGGCTGTCGAACACTTTAAAAGCTTCAGCGAATTGTTTGTTTTGGATGTATTTTATACCTAGAATAAATAAAAGTGTAGTGTATTTTGTGTTTGTTACCTCATTCCATAACTGTGTAAATCCCGTGGAATATCGCAATTTAAATAACATAAAAACATTTTATTTATTAACTAACATACCTTGATGTTCATAATTCTGAAAAGTCTGCCTCGTATTTGCATCTATCAGTCCCAACTGGTACAAATAATCACCATAATTGACTTGGTTCTCGGGATCGGTAAAACCGTTGCCGATGCTCAACCCCTGCAAATTAATCTTGAGCTTAGCTGAAGGATTGTTCTTATAAATCGTGTACGCAATCGCAGGGACGTATTTTCCTGCATACGATTCCCCTGCAACGTAAAACTCATTCTTCTGCAGGTCCGGGAACATGGTGAAGAACTGCTGTAGGGCATTGTACAAGTCCAGGCCGACCTGAGTTTCATTTTGAGCGTAACCATCGTTAGTAAAACTGTAGCCAGTTCCAACAGGGTTGTCGATGTATATAACGGAATGGGAGTTCGTCCATGCGTATTGCCGTAGCTTCAGCCCGTGCTTACTCATTACGGAGAATGGACCGTTTTCTCCGAATAATCCAATAAGGGACGTGGCCCCGGGACCACCTTGCACCCAGAGTATAACGGGGTCATTCGCATAATCCCCTAGGGAGGGGAAGAACCAGAAAAATAGATTGGATTGGTAGGCTTTATTCACTGTTAAGTATCCAGAGTAACTTGTTACATCTTTGAATCCATTAAAATATACTCGAGCTATCCTCTGAGCCACCTGGATTTTGTTTTGTTCGATATATGGGGTAAGAAATAGGGGTACCCCTGGATCGTCTGTAATTTCTTCTTGCTTAAATCTTCCGTACACATTGGGAAAGGCGCAATGGGTTGTTTCAGTCAGAAAGTGTACTAAAAATGATACAACACACAACTTAAACATCATGTAATCTTGAACTAAACTGCTTGGAGACCGTATCAAATATACCACAATAGGGTCAAGACCCTTGAAGGATAAAGCAATCTTGTTTATTTATAAAAATCTCTCATTTGGTACTCATCACAATGAACACTGAACACTTTATAAAGTTGTGTTTATAAATGCCGACAAAATGTTTTAAATGTTTTAATTCAATTATGGTTTCTGTTTACATCGTACAGTTGCAGTTGCATTGGTTAGGCAACACAACATGCGTATAATCTATTTTTGTGTTTTTCACTGTAACAGAGGTGGACTCACTGATTCAAATACTCGGAAATGTTATTAGAAGCAAAAATGAATTAATTACACTACTACTGTACAATTATATTACATTGAAATAATATAGTATGGATATAATTTTCAGTAACAATTTATGTTTTGATATTTATATTTTTTTATCATTTAAGAAATGTTTCATGTTTTACAACACATCAAAATTCACGCTGCGAGTGCGCACTGCGCATGCGCGCTTTAGCCACACAACTGGAGACAAACGACAGTCTTATAATAACCACATACTTCTATAGATAGGATAGAAGTATGTGATAATAACTAATTATTCTGTGGTCTTATTATATTTTCATTTTCTGAGTTTTGACCTGACTTCATTGAAAAACATTTTTCTACATTAGTCTTTTATGTTGTCATATATATTTATCTGTTCACGAGTATGATGACAAATTCCATGCAAATTCGCTCAACCCCGGCTCTTTCTGAAAAGAATCATCTGGCAACACTGTAGTTTAGTGTGTCGTTCATCTTCAGTCGTGAGTGGTAAGCGCAAACGCAGACGCCAAGAAAATAGGATTAAATTTTGAATGTTTCACATACCGGGAGTTATTTAATTTTAATTTGCTAATTACTTATTAGTTATTTTGTACAGTGTGTGGCGCAGTGAAATTATTGTAAGTGTGTTACGTGTTTTTATTGTTTTTAAACTGTCAAAAACTTAGATTTGACAAACGACCCTTTTAACAATAAATGATGAAGGAGATATACCATTATATGAGGCATTTCTCTGCTTTATAGTGTCCAGTTTGGGTCGTTCGGGATTTATGTGACATTTAAATTGGTGTGACATTTTATTATTATAAATTACAATTTACTACTACGAAGGACTAGGTACCAGTCAAAACAGTTTTGTTTTCATGTCTGTATATGTGTTTATGGGCGACAATACATGGGTAAGTTAATTTAAGTAGTTAATATATACGTGCCCAAAATTATAAACCCTCATGATTTAATTGTGCTTAAATTTTTTTTTAATATAAGAGGTGTGCCCTCTACTTTACACCATTTTTTCCAATTTGTTTATTGTTAGTAGTTTCCCCGCAATAGATCGGATGGAAATTTGAAGTTAAAAGTAATTTTATCTGTTTTAATCTAGTGAAAAGGGAGTTTCAAATAAATTAGTTTAAAAGTGTGAGGGGACGGGCTAATAAAAGAAAAGATTCATCCTCTTTTTTATGACATCTGATTTAACGCACTTGTTGGGAGGGTCATAATTCCAGAGAACTTCTACAGGGACGACACTTGGCGGTAATTTTACGAAGTGATAAAATCGTTCGCGACTCATTAATAAAAAATTGCCATAATGTTTTTAACGAGTAATATTTCAGATAGGTCGTAAAATTGAATAAAACCAAGTTTTCAGTGGGCAGAGAGTCATTATTTATCATAAAACGGCTTGTTATTTTGATTCGATTTACCAATGGAAAACAAATTACAATAAGTTATCGTAATTCTTCGAGTTATCTGTGAAAACAAGTGCGGGAAGAGGTAGTACAAACCCAACACAAAATACATACCTAGTAATCGACGTTCCAATTATTTTGAGCATATAGAGCGTCTAAACGAAGGTTTTCACCTGTTTGCACCAAAATAATGAGTCTTCCTGAACAATTCTTAACGGTTGTTAAATGTTACGGTTCCAGAAATTGAAATTTCCTTTTTTATGTTTGTTTTAATAGATGTCTTAATCATGAATAATTTGACCGATGCTCTGTAGGTACTTTGTTTCGAAATGTTCTAAGGGTATAAAGGGTGTTTCGAAAAAGGATGCCATACATTCAGGAATTGACAGGACATCAAAAAGTTTGACGATTTTTCCCTGTAAAAAAGAGAACGGTAATTTTTTTGGAAATCAGATTTAACGTAACTGGAACTAACCGCTAGATGCGTCTAGGTACAGTGTTTCTTTGGAAGTCAATTTGTCAACTACAAAAATCGTTCATCTTTCCTGAAATTCACGTCTGGCTATGCTCAGATCCCAGAACGCACTTGTCACTACCAAAAGCGAAATACAAAATATGCTTTCTCTTTGTCTTCTCCGATATTCTTCAACACTTCTTCACAGAAACCTAACACTATATAATAGCATGTCAACTTGTTTGCTAAATGAAAACATTCCGGCCATTTTCAAAACACTCAGCAAACAATTACTGAAATTGAATCACTTTTTTCCCGATTGTCAAGTTTGACGTTTAATTTCATAGCCAACTTTTGATTTTTCGATGATTTTAAATAACAGCGAGTTACTGAAGCATTTTGGCTACCAATTTTTTCGGATGGAATGGATTGACGTGAAATTTGAACTGTAGCTAGGGAATAGCCCAAAAAACAAAAGTTATTTAGTGCAGATGTGTGCTTTTACCCTAGGGGTGGTTGCCACCCTTTCTGGAGGGTGGTAATTTTTTTTATTAAAAATAACCTCACGATTCGATAGTGGTACGAATTCTAAGCAAAAAATGTTCTATAAGAATTTTTTATACAATCAATAATTTTTGAGTTATTTGCGCTTAAACATGTTCGTTTTAGCCCAAAAAATGCATGTTTTTTAGCCATTTTTCGTGAATATCTCAAAAACTACAAGTTTTATAAAAAAATTATCATTAGCAAAAATGAAGGTAATTAAATAGCAAGGAGATTGGTTTTTTATTTTTGTATATGGTATAGAACCCGAGTTGTGACTCCCAGAAGTTGAAGTCAATTTCTGTAATTGAAACGTTCAACGTCCTGTAGCGGAAAAATTAAAGGTTTTTCGAGGAAAACTTAAATCACACCTATTAAAGTTCTTGAAAAGACCTTTAAATTGAGTGGTGGTAGAAGTTTTTAGCATGAAAACTAATGAAGTTACAATCAAAATAAAATGATTGTCTTGATTTTTGAGAAATAAAATCGGTATTAAAATAAATGACGAAAAAAAAATTAAACGTATTCCTTCTGCAATTTACTTTTTATGTATTAGGTAACAGTAGATTCTGGGAATTGAACGATTTTAGAACCAAAATTAAAAAAAAAATTCATTTACCTTTAAATAAATTTTTTTAATATTAAAGAATCGCCGTTTTTTCAAAATATTTCAAAAACTAACAAAGTTATAAAAAAATTATACAATAAGAAATTGTAGGTTGTTTCTTACTGAACAATTTGCTTATTTTTTAATTTTTGTAGGACAAAATTTGACTGAGTTATGACCGTTAGAAGCTCAAAACTAAGCTGCCTTTCCTTATCCCTTTTAGCTTACAAATCTAAAAAACGAAGGGCTCGAAAAAACTGCAAATCTGAGAACTTAAAGTGCTTTAAATTTGCTACAAAATGGTTTTTTAAACAAATTTATAACTTTAAAATTACAAAAGTTAGGTATGGTAAAAAAATTAATCGAATTTTTTCGGTAAAATTTTCGGTGCGGGTAAATTACCATCATCTTTGTGTATTTTGGAACACTTGTGAACTGATTTGAGTAAGTATTTTAATAATATACATACACACACGTACCCATTTATAATGTATATATATTTTTTTATTTGATATAAATTTAATAAAAAAATATTAAGAATAAATTCAATAAAATTAAAAAATATTAATTATATCATCATACTCACATATAATTTTTAGGAAATTTTTCTATAAGGGGTAGGGTTTTTTATGAGGGGTAGGTCTTCCAAAATTTGAAACCCCACTCTGTCCCTGTTCTGTGTCAGTTCTTATGCGAACACCCTGTATATTTTTAGTACTAATAGATTTTAAATAATCCTACCATACTTTCGACGAATATTAAGAATACTAATGGTATGCTTAGGACCGATAAAAAAATGATTGATAAGGAAAACATTAAAATAAGTACTAGTAGTTCCTAAAGGTATTGCTCACACAGTTTTAAAGGAGCAGACCCTGTAAATTTACATAGTTTTGAACTTCTTCTAGTTCTTCATTTAAAATGTTCGTCCTGAATAACAAACTGTGCCGTTCGTCTCGCCAAATTCCTGATGTCAGCGAATTGTCGAACCTCGGATACTTTACCGGCTCTGAATTATTCAAATCATAGCGTCTGGGAGCTTTTATATAATAACAGAGGACTTTTTGTGGACCAATAAAACATAATATTTGCCCTTGACTCCTGCTAGACCTCACTTTACGCGAATCTCACAAATAAATCCGTCAAATATCCATATTTCGAATTTATGTCGTCGAAATCGGCTTTGGCTCGTATGGAAATTGGGGGAAATATGCAAATGCGGTTTTTTAGTGTCACATTTGGAGGAACGTGCCACGTGACGGATAGCGCGAAATCCATGAATTTCTATTTTATAGAGGGTGTCCCGAAATTAATGTTTTGCTAGCGCATAATTCTAAGTTTCGACCCCCTTTTCATCAGTTTTAATAATATTTCGAAGCGGTCTCCGAAAAAAATGCTATTTGTGAAATTCCTTTCGCATTGTTGAATATTTTTTTTACAAACAACACTTTGAAACATAGAAACATAAACTTCTCTTATTATTAGTTGTAGAAGACTTTGGTAAAATCGCACGTTCATTTCGAGACGCACCGTATAAAAAATTCTGTTTTCGAAAAACCCCTTTCGAACAACATTCGGAACGGGTGCAGCAGCCCAAGCCAAAGCCCAGTTGACGCCAAGGTGTCCTCACGAAGCGCGCAAGCCGCCAATATCCAGCGGGCTGGGAAAAACAAGCGCGAAACTTCAGTGTTCCGCGCGTTTTCCACCATCGAAGATCTCGGTGGTACGATTTCTTTGATATCTCGAAATAAGATCGTACACAAGTTTCGATTCGTCTCTTTTGGGGCCCGGATCTTTGCTTCAAGGTAAAGAAATTTGATTTTGATCTACAACAGTGAGTAAAAGTTAAAAAATAACTGCCCAGTCGTTAATGAATATGTAGGTGCGCATTTGCTGTTCAATTGTTTGTTTTGCCATGAAATCAAAACGTTGTTGCAAACTGACTATTTTTATTAAGTATGTATTTTATATTTGGCGCCCGATTATTTGAGGGTGCTTGTGGATATGTCACGCATAGTTGATCAATTTTAAGTTCAAAGGGCATCCTATATTTCTCATATAGAAATCTCATTTTTAATTCAGTCCTGTACAGGGTGTTTCAAGCGATAGACTTACTAAAAAAAAAACGAAAACATAAAATGGAAATCTGCTAACTGCTAATCGAATGTTATCAAAAAAAGACAAGAATGTGATTTCTAGCTATATTCTGGCAGTTTTGTGGCAATACTGGTGGATGCCGTTGTAAATGTTAACGGAGTTATGTTTATTAAATTGCTTGTTTGGCCATATTGAATCGAATTCAAAATATTTGTTTGGCTGCCAATTTAATTCTCGGCCCTTGCTGTGAATTTCCATCCACCATGACGTTTTAGTGAAGTGATGTCACCACCAGCATCAACCAATATCGTGGTTGAACCGCGGCGAAAACAGTTTTTCGGTATATATACTAACATTCAGAAGATTTAAGTAAGTAGCAGTTTCTTTTCCCATGTTTCAAATTGGTTTTGACGGTGCTTTTTTCATTTACGTAATTGATCAAAAAAAGGTTAGGTTATACAATTTTTTGAACGATGGTTCTTGTACATTAAACATATTGCATATTTTCCTGCAACTGCGAAATTTCGTGTTGTAAATTTCAATTTACGTAGCTTTTGCTCTTTATAAGCTCCTAAAATAGTAAATATATTTTCCATCTATGAACAAACACGGTTTTCCGTTAAATTGCACTGAAAAACTAAGATCCACTCCAATAAATTAGGATATTTCGATATGTTTTGTTTAATGTAGATTTCAAAACTGGATGTAACCACAGCGTTCAATTCTTATTGAAAGGCTACTAACATTAATTTCGACCTTACAGTCAACTGAGAGTAAAAGGCTTCGTAT